AAGTCCTACTTTTGATCATTTTTTAAAAGTTGGGGGACTATTAATATTTTTTGCATTCCGACGCAAAATATAACTTATAGGTCTACATCCCATTCTGAATCCCTTTTTCAAAGCATTAAAACAACAATATAACTTACTGAATTTGGTTTCACCATTTGAAGTGATATTATCAAGGACGACAGTGCTTCGAAGATTGATCTTCCCCAGCTCATCAGAATAGTCCCACAGCCTAGAGGATTTCACAGAAGGATCACCTTGTATCACTCTCAAAGCTCTTCTCTTGGTTCTATGTGCTTGTTGCTTGAACACCAACCCCAAGCTTTTTAATCACTTTAGCCCTCCACCCTTTGGTAGTCATCTTAGGATCAGTCTCAAAAGTTTCAAGATACTTTTCACTCAACCATCTACTTTTTAAATTCTTCACAATGAAATATGGTTGACAAGAGTGACTAGGAAAGTACGTAGAAATCATGAGAGCTAGTTCATCTGGTTTCTTAAGAGCATTTATTCTCCATTTGCAGCTCTCAACCTTACACTCAACATATACCCTTCTATTGTCATTCTTTGTAAACATCATGTTTCTTTTTTCTGCTAATAGCATGAGACTGAATTCCCTTCTTAAATTCTGCTTTATTAGCAAAAACCATGCCTAATTCAAATGTTGGATTGAAAATAAGTGCAGGGTTGAAAACAGGCTCACTTGGCTCACACTCTTCATCAGACACCCTATACTCATCTAGTTGAGGGCTACCACTAACCACATCATCTTCCTCATCATCATTATCTGAATGATTGACATCTTTGCCTATATCATCATTATATGTATGATTGACATCTTTGTCTATATTATCAGCATGTTCTTCCCACAAATCATCATCATCTTCATTAACATTTTCAGGACTCATGTTGTAGTCAGAATCATTTAATTCATCAGAATCAGATTTACTTTCATCCACAATCATCCTCTTCCTACCTAAGTCTGTACCCATGGCTTCTTCAATTGGTAGCCAGATGGAACCCAATGTGTTCTTATTTGTATCATTTGGAACAGAAGCAAGAGCAGATTTAGGGTCATTAGACTGACTAGGCTCACTAGACTCATTAGGGCCAACAACAGGATCAGGAGCCAGCACATCAATATATATATGCATCTCTCTAGTTCTAACAGCATCATGCACAAAATTTTTAAAGACTCTATCAATGCACAATAACAAAAACCCAGTACTCTCATACATGTGGAACCCCATTTCTCCAGTGACCCCTACTTGTTTGCACCAAATAGTGATAGCCAACAATCCTAATTCTTGTGGAGTGACATAATCAACTATTAAAATCTTACCTCCTTTATATTTTGGTGCTGGGAAATGTTGAAATTTTCTATTCCAATGCACAACCAATGAGAAAGAATCAAACGTAGGACTGTAAGTTTTTGGGAAACAAAAAGTTGTCAACA